CTTTCCAGCGAAGGTTTCTTCACAATCACAGTCAGAGTCAGAGTCTTCACAATCACAATCACAGTCACAGTGTTCGACGCGTGTTGCACTATATCTCACACGAGACTGATCGCAGGTGAACTACACGAAAGATCTTTTTCTTGGTGAAGTGATGGGTAAAAGAAGGGATAAAGCAAAGTGAAAAGAATGGACGGAGCTAAAGGCACGGAAGCTAAAGGCCCTTGCAGAATGCCAAGTAACAAGCAATAGGAACAGGGAATAGGAATTCGAATTGGTCAATACAGATTATAATCTGTCCGGATTTTGGCGCCGCACCCTGTATATTTTTTACATGTTATTTTATGATATGATTTTTCTGAATATTATTTAAACGTTTCAAAAACATTACAAAAAATATTTTTCAAATGTTATTTTAACATTTATTTGAAATCAATGCAATATCTTAAAAATATTTCTGATGATTAAAAGCTATCCGCTCTTTTTCGTTTGACATACTGGACATTTTTATCCTCCCACAATTATATTAATATTAAAGTTATATTAGTATTTATTAGCACTAAGACATCCGTGCTAGCTCCTTATGTGCTATTGATATTTCACTATGGGATTCTTTGAGTTTAGAATGTATTATATCTTCGAGGAAAATTCAATTTTGAAAAAAGATAACATTGTGCTTGTGAACAGTTTTATTCAAATAAATAAAATAATATAATAAATAAATTATAAAATAATTTCAAATTAATGTTAAAATAACATTTGAAAAATATTTTTTGTAATGTTTTTGAACCGTTTAAATAATATTCAGAAAAATCATATCATAAAATAACATGTAAAAAATATACAGGGTGCGGCGGCAAAATCCAGACAGATTATAATCTGTTTTCATTCAATTCATTTTTCGGAATCGAAAAATTATTGTCCTCCGTGACAGATTCACGTGATTCTCCGGATTTAGAAAAAAATAATAAAGCGCTATCCTTTCCTCACCATCTAGCGGTAGATAGCACGGTGCGTTTTTTTTATAGTAGTATCCCCAGTAGGCCTAATCCACTCTCATTATTTAATGCAAAAATTGCTCGAAATGTCGTCCGTTCTGCTGTACGCAGAGTTCGGCTCTTCGAACAATATTGCGCTTTGCACGATGCGCCATTTCCGGCGTAATAGTACCGAAGGCCGCAACAATAGCTGCATGTACCTCGTTTTCTCTACTATTACGTCGATGTTCAACTAGATTTTTTATATGACCCCATACAAAAAATCTAGTACGTTTAAGTCTGGCAACCGTGCCGGCCAAGTGATTGGGCTACCACGACCATCCACTTATCAGAATAACGCGCGTCTAATATATCGCGTACTTGTCGAGAGAAGTGCGCAGGAGATCCGTCGTGCTGAAAAATCAGCTGCGCCCGTGTGCGAAAAGGCACATCGGCGAGGAGTACCGGCAACTCCGTCTCTAAAAAGTTAGCGTATATTTCGCCATTTAAACGCGGTGGCAAAAAATACGGACCAATCTGGAAATCATCGACGAAAATGTTTAGATTTAGTGGCGAAAGAAAAGTTGTTTTATTTTTATCGCTCACACATACCACTTGATCCGCGATCATTCCCGCCCATACGTTGATAGACCATCGATTCTAAAACGCACCTTCGCGGACGACGTGAGGATTTTCTTCGTCCCAATGTAAAAAATTACGCGTATTAAATATGCCGTTTGGCGTAAAAATCGCCTCGTCGGTCCACAAAATACGGTCTGTGAAAGACAGATCTCGATAGTATTGCGCGAGAAAACCTGCGTGTTTTGCCGACGGCTGACGGTTACAATTCAATAAAAATACCGCGAATATAAAAAATCAGTAATCACAGTACTTTCAAAAAAATTAATTCTTTGTTGTGCATCTCCTGGCAGCAGCTGTTGCATACGCTGATAATGGTACGGGTGCAATCCGTTCACACGTAAAACGTGATGCACCGCGTACCCCGAGAGTCCCAGTTCTCGTGCCACATGACGCACGCTGGTCCCAGAGTTTTCGTAAAACGCGGCCAGAATCCTCTCTTCATCTCGAACGCGACGACACACTCGTGGACCACCCGCACCATGATTATGCACAAGACACCCAATTTCACGCAATCGTTGCACTGTACGTAAAATTGTATTTGCCGTTGGATATCGTGCACACCCGGGATGTCGTTCCGCGTAAACGCGAGCCGCGACATGTGTATTTTCTCCCGCTAGCCCGTAGGCAATAATCATGTCCGTGTACTCCTGTGGAGTAAATCGCATTTTCGTCGCAAAAAAGCACTACGCGTACACAATCGTTTCACAAGTGTATGAAGTTGGCACCCCACTTTTTGAAATTTATAATTTTGAAAGTTGTTCCAGATTGTTCTGACTTTGTACCACATTGTTCCAAAGTGATATTGCTTCATTCGAAACGGTTTTCGAATAAAACAAAAAAAAATGATTTTTTGAGCTGGCACCCCACTTTTCGAAAATCAAACATTCTGATACCACAATAGATTGTTCTAGTTGTTCCAAACATTGTTCCAAAAGTACAAATCCGTAAGTTGAATTATAAGTCCAAAAAATGAAAAAAATGTTTTTGACCTGGCACCCCATTTTTTTAAAATAAAGCATTCCGATACCGATACAGATTGTTCTAGTTGTTCCAAACATTGTTCCAAAAGCACAAATCAATAAGTTTAATTATAAGCCCGAAAAATTAAGAAAAAGTTTTTGACAGTCTATCGGACCAAGAGTAAACTTATACTATCTTTCTTGTTCCAACCGAGATCTTTTTGTTCTGAGTTGTTCTAGGCTTAAGAATTATAGTTCTAGAGTCTGAGACCCATAAGATCATTCGTTCTCCGAAAATTCGTAAAAAAATCGATTTGACAGTACTCGACGTCAAGAGTAAACACATGCTTCCTTTCTTATTCCAACCGAGATCTTTTTGTTCTGAGTTGTGCTAGGCTTAAGAATTATAGTTTTAGAATATGAGACTCATAGCGTCATCCGTTTTCCGAAAATTCAAAAAAAAATCGATTTGACAGCACCCGCCCTTATAGAAATATCATACTAAGAATCATTGATAATTACTTATTATCCAGTATTTTTAATACTGAAAATAAGTAATTATCAATGATTCTTAGGATGATATTTCTATAAGGGCGACGTCAAGAGAAAACACATGCTTCCTTTCTTGTTCCAACTGAGATCTTTTTGTTCTGAGCTATACTAGGCTTAAACGACGAAGCAATTTCACTTTATTTTGTCATGACATTTTGTAATTATTTCCGCCAATTTTCCTATAATAAAGATTAATTTTTGTAAGAAATCATCTTTTTCTTGAATTTTTGTCACCTCAGAAATATATTTCAATCATCCTTATTTTCAATCATCCAAATAATTATACTTTTTTAAATCAGTATATAGAACTTTTTTTTTTAAGAAAATAGTTTCATCTAAAAAAACTTGAAAATATTTTTGTTACCTTTAATATGTTGTTAAGTTATGAATTTTTTTTACGAAATTACATTTTTTGTCGATTTCGGCAAATTTAAATTGTTATTGCAAAAAATTGTTAATAAATGACTAAAGTAACTATTGGAACATAAAATATAATCTGTCTAGAGTATCCCAGAATTTTTTCAGATTTTTTAGATGAGTTTAACAAAAAAATGTTACAGGACTTAAAGGGTCATCGTGCAAATGGCGTTAGTAAAAAACATAAAGCAAACGGAGGGTTAAAAATATTTTATGTTTCTACATAAATACATATATTTACATTTTCTTCCCTTATAGAAATATCATACTAAGAATCATTGATAATTACTTATTTTCAGTATTAAAAATACTGGATAATAAGTAATTATCAATGATTCTTAGTATGATATTTCTATAAGGGCGAGGCCACCGAGGGACACCATACCTGCTTCTGAGCGTACAGATTATATAGAATATATTGAGGATATCTTTTTTTTGTTTCTCGAACTTTCTTTAAAATGTTCTAAGAGTTAACAAATGAGTGCTTCTGAGATTGTACAGAAAATTATCTTCAGAATATTCTATTTCAAAGTTCTAAGAATATAGGATGCTCATAGAACGCTTTTAAGTTTTAGAACAGCCGTAATACATTCATAATTAGCCTAAGATATTGTTAAGATACTGTATATGCTATTTCAAAGAATAATTAAAAATAAAAGTATCCTACACTACTGTACAAATCTTGTAACTTTTTCTTATCTTGTTACTTTTTTAACAAGGGTTTTTGTTTTTTCCACCAATGTTGGTGGCAATTCTGCCAGGTAGGAAGCTTCATCGCTGGAATTCTGGAATTATTAATATAAAAATTAATATAAAAATAAATATATATATATATATACATTCCATTACACAGAAGTTAGAAAAGTTAGAAGAAAAAATAAGATAACGTACTGTTCAGGTTGAATGTTTTCCAGCCAAGCACTTTTGAGTGCGTCCGCTGTTGTTATTCGCTTCCCGGGATCTAATTCCAACATTTTATCCAGGAGATTTAAAGCTGGGTCTGGCATAAATGAGAAATCCTCCCTCAAACGTCTTCCATGTACCATTCTTGGGTTAAATATTTTCCAATGTGGTAATTTTGTCACAGAAGGCCAAACAGCTTCAGTAGGTGTCCGCAAACTCTCGAAATCAATTCTAGCTGCATTATTTCTGCGTTGCCCTAAGGTCACAAATTATAAATATTAATAATAATTATAATGTATGTATACATAATATAATTAACTTTTTTGAAATTCGAGAAATGATTAGTTCACTTAGAATAATGATATTTACCTGGAATAAAGGCTTCTTCCAAAACAACTCTCCTAATATACATCCGCAACTCCATACATCGATTGCAGGTCCATAACGTTCCTCTCCCAACAACAGTTCAGGAGATCTATACCACAGAGTAACCACCTTGTTAGTATATCGTCTTTCTTTGTCCTCCGCGTTATAAACACGCGCCAATCCAAAATCAGCCAGTTTAACTTCGCCTCTGCAAAAATTACAAGATCAGATAAAAAATTATTGAAAAAATTAATTATTCATTTTTGATTGAGGTTCACGTACTTCTTATTCATCAGTATGTTCGCGCATTTGATGTCTCTGTGCAAATAATTCTTGCTGTGGCAGTAATTTAAACCATCTAGTAACTGCTTCATAATACTGGCGTTATTCATCTCGTTAAAATTCACCATTCCAGATTCCAAAAGAGCCATTAGATCGTAGTCCATGCAGTCGAAAACTAAATAAAAGATACTTTTATCCTGAAACACAAAGGATAATTATAAAATTTTATAATTTTGTGGCTATTATGGATCAGATTAGTTGTGAGAAAGATGTTGGAGCCGTGAGAGTACCTTTCGGGAGCCCAGTGCATTTTGCTTATCGGTGACAACTTCCCTAAGATTAATGATGTTTTTGTGATTTAGATGACGTAGAATCTTGATTTCTCTGATCGACGTAATAGAGACGCCCTCTTTCTTATTTTCCGACCAGAATTTCTTCAAAGCTACAAGCTCGCTAGAGCACTTATCTCGCGCTCTGTATACTTGTCCGTAAGTACCCTGTCCGACCTTTGTGATAATATCGAATACATCCACACAGCGTTGACCCCAATCTTTGCCACCGGAGACTGATGTGGGAGTATGACATTTTGGTCGACCTATTACTTTCGGTCTCTTTGGCTCCGGTATCATTCGTTCCATCTTCAAGTGCGGTAGAATCGCGTTTGGATCGTTCTCGCTGCTTAGGTCATTTGATCCAGGCACAACTACGATTTAAGCAGTCGATTGATATAATAATATTATATAAGCAATTAATATTATATAAGCAATAAAACGAGTTGAAGAGTAAAAATTACCTGGTATCATCGACTGATCCTTAATGCTCCTCTTCTGCGGCAGCTTCGACGTCGAAGTTGGGAGCTTCATTTGCGTCTTACTAGGCGAAATATAAGGACTCGACGAGAAATTAATGCTCTTCAAGTCGTTCAGATTGATTCCAAATGAAAAATTGAACGAATTTTCCGCCTCAAAGGCTACTTTTGAAGTATTGGGTGAATCCAACGATTTGAGGGGCACCAGATTGTTGGGAGTATTGAACTTGGACATGATCAAATTCAGCGCCGACACAGGAAGCGGGATTTGGGAGAGTGCGATCGGGCAATTGGTAGCTACCGCAAACAAGGTGGGCGAGGTATGTACAATCACGTTGGAAGTCAAATTTGATGCAATTGTCGGCGCCGGCGGTATCACTGGCTGGCTGGCTGATAACGGCGGCGTTTCGCCAGCCAGACTATTGTCATCGCTCATCGGCAGGGGAATGTCGACGACGTCGACAGACTTGACCGTGTCTTCATTGCCGAGCTTAGCGGGCTGGTCCTTGTGATTCACTGGTTTGTCCTTATTACCATTGGAAGCCTTGTTTTCAATACACGCGTTACTGCCGTCTTTCTCCTTAAGGTCCTCTATGATCTGCACATTGTCTTGGGTGACGGCCTTCTCCCTCGCGGCTTGCAATTTCTCGTACACAAGAAGAGCCTGTCCGTACAAGTTCTCGTTCTTCATCATCTCCGCGGCTAAACTGTTCTTACTGATCTTCAGTTCTTGTACTCTGAGATTTCGGGCGGTGATGCTTGACGAACTTATGATTCTGGATCTTTGAGTGGAAGGAGAAGATATTCTCGGGCTCTTTGACTTATGTTTCCTTGTCGACTTGTGGGTTTTGCTGGATGAATGCGATTTCTTCGGAGTACCAGGACTACGAGACCGTGATCGGGAAAGAGACCTGAAATGTGACCTGAAATCAAAGAGACTGTCAAGTTAATACATGTCGCGCGAAAGGTATTTATTACTTGTTTATTTATATTAGAGAGAAAAGAGGATGGTATTTAAACGAGTTTTGACATCTAACCTGTTTTCAGTAGACACGTTATTGCCGTCTTTCTCCTCAGGGTCCTCTATGATCTGCACATCGTCTTGGGTGACGGCCTTCTTCCTCGCGGCCTTCTTCCTCGCGGCTCGCAATTTCTCGTACACAAATTCGCTCAAGTTCTCGTTCTTCATCATCTCCGCCGCTAGGCTATTCTTACTGATCTTCAGTTCTTGTATTCTGAGATTTCGGGCGGTGATGCTTGATGGCCTTCGCTTGTCTCTCCTATCCTTCTCGTGATGTCTATGACGTCGATCAGAGTCCTCTCGTCTTCTGCGTTTAGACGGTGGAAAGGTAGTCGTCTCTGTTCGTCGCCTGTGACTTACAGAACTCGGGCTGAATTCGCGTTGTCTGACGGGACTTCTTGTACTATGTCTGAGTCTAGCTGAAGCAGGACTGAAGTCTCTTTTCCGTGACGGCCTGCTAGAGTGTCGATGTGGAAGCGACGGCGACACTGCGATGGTAGTGTAAATATCATCATAATATTGCCTTTGAAGAAGTGGTTCAGATATTTCACCGTCTATGTAATTATTGCCGCGGCTATCCTCCAATTGTATCTTGTCGGGTTTCGGCTCGGACAGATCTTCGCTACTCACATCAGAGTATTCCATCAAAGATTTAACAACGGTCGGCACATTCTCCATGGACTTGTCGCGCGAACGTTTCTCCTCTTTTTTGCTAGAGCTCTTCCTTTTGCCATGTCTCTGATGTGTTTCGTCGCTGTTCTCGGAGCTGTGGCAGCTCACGTCGCTACTTGTGCTACCTTGATTGCGCGATTGAAAACTTCCATCAGGATCGAATTTTGAAGCCATGTCACCTACTGAAAAACAAAAGTATCGATAAATAATTCATAAATACAACACAAACGTATTGTCGGTATAGTAACAATCGTATAAAAGAAGACAGACTGTTGCAGACAAGTAGAATGAAATGAATGCACCTTCAACACTTCTCATCTTGTGGGAAGAAATATCATTGTGTAATGAAAATACTGTTTATGAAGAAAATGTATTATTGTTTTTATGTGTACCATCAAATACTTGTGACCGCATTTTATATAATTGCAAATGGGATATGTGAGAACATTTGCATATGTTGTATAAAACGTGGTTACAACATATTGTATAAACATGGTTTAATGATGCATGTGCACAATGGTGCATAATGATCATACGAATGAACAATCGTATAAAGAAGACAGACAAATAGACGAAATAGACCAATAGGAAAATGATCAAGTGAGCAAATAAACAAATTATGAGCAAGTATTCTTTCTACCTTTTTTATTTTGTAAAAAAAGTATATTGCTATATGTTTATGAAGAAACATAAGAAAACTGTTCATAAGAAACTATTTTTACATGCACCAATAAATACTTAAGTCTAATCTACAATATGCTCTTTGCGTTCTGCACTTATCAAAAAAAAGAAAGATATATTCTTATAATAAATTAAACAACACTTGTGAAACGAACTTCAACGCGCGTCGAACTGTTCGATGCGTGTATGTACTTATCTCACACGAGACTGATCGCAGGTACACGAAAGACCTTTTTCTTGAAGTGATGGGTAAAAGAAGGGATAAAGCAAAGTGAAAAGAATGGGCGGAGCTAAAGGCACGGAAGCTAATTCGAATTCCTATTCCCTGTTCCTATTGCTTGTTACTTGGCATTCTGCAAGGGCCTTTAGCTTCCGTGCCTTTAGCTGCGCCCATTCTTTTCACTTTGCTTTATCCCTTCTTTTACCCATCACTTCAAGAAAAAGGTCTTTCGTGTACCTGCGATCAGTCTCGTGTGAGATAAGTACATACACGCATCGAACAGTTCGACGCGCGTTGAAGTTCGTTTCACAAGTGTTGTTTAATTTATTATAAGAATATATCTTTCTTTTTTTTGATAAGTGCAGAACGCAAAGAGCATATTGTAGATTAGACTTAAGTATTTATTGGTGCATGTAAAAATAGTTTCTTATGAACAGTTTTCTTATGTTTCTTCATAAACATATAGCAATATACTTTTTTTACAAAATAAAAAAGGTAGAAAGAAGTATTCTTGCGCGTGTGACAATTTCGCTAAGGTCTACACGGTACGCGTGCCTGCTGACGAGGCAACCCGTCGTACTGACCTGTTTATAAGTGCAACACCCTGGACATGTATCTACGTGGTGAAATCTGTCAAATTAAAATCAGTTTTGCTAGATATTTGCTGTAAATTTCGTTGACAATATCTGCCAATACGTAATAAGATCCGTTGAGTCATGATGGTGAATTTAGAGTCGGTCCAGCTTCTGCGATCTGTTGTTAGGCTCTGTACGCGAATTCTTCCGATAGTACACGAATTTAATGCAGACATAGATGATATTGGGCCCGTCGCGATATTCCAATCGAATCTGTAGTCAACTTATCTTCTTTGCCGAACTGACAAATTTCTCGCTTGAAATTTTTAGCTATGATTTGTGCAAGTATTATGCTATGTTATCATAAGAGACATACGTTCCTTACAATAACGTAAAGAAGGCTAGTGAAGGATCACGCGCGATACAGTAAACGAGTTCTGTAAAGGTAAAACTTGAATCTACATCCGCCGCTTGCTAATCGGTCACTAGCGAGAAGTGGAATAACGTTGCAAGCAGTTTACATATGTTATTTCGCTTTTTTATTCAATTTCGTTTCACAAGCGTTGTTTAATTTATTATAAGAATATATCTTTCTTTTTTTTGATAAGTGCAGAACGCAAAGAGCATATTGTAGATTAGACTTAAGTATTTATTGGTGCATGTAAAAATAGTTTCTTATGAACAGTTTTCTTATGTTTCTTCATAAACATATAGCAATATACTTTTTTTACAAAATAAAAAAGGTAGAAAGAATACTTGCTCATAATTTGTTTATTTGCTCACTTGATCATTTTCCTATTGGTCTATTTCGTCTATTTGTCTGTCTTCTTTATACGATTGTTCATTCGTATGATCATTATGCACCATTGTGCACATGCATCATTAAACCATGTTTATACAATATGTTGTAACCACGTTTTATACAACATATGCAAATGTTCTCACATATCCCATTTGCAATTATATAAAATGTGGTCACAAGTATTTGATGGTACACATAAAAACAATAATACATTTTCTTCATAAACAGTATTTTCATTACACAATGATATTTCTTCCCACAAGATGAGAAGTGTTGAAGGTGCATTCATTTCATTCTACTTGTCTGCAACAGTCTGTCTTCTTTTATACGATTGTTACTATACCGACAATACGTTTGTGTTGTATTTATGAATTATTTATCGATACTTTTGTTTTTCAGTAGGTGACATGGCTTCAAAATTCGATCCTGATGGAAGTTTTCAATCGCGCAATCAAGGTAGCACAAGTAGCGACGTGAGCTGCCACAGCTCCGAGAACAGCGACGAAACACATCAGAGACATGGCAAAAGGAAGAGCTCTAGCAAAAAAGAGGAGAAACGTTCGCGCGACAAGTCCATGGAGAATGTGCCGACCGTTGTTAAATCTTTGATGGAATACTCTGATGTGAGTAGCGAAGATCTGTCCGAGCCGAAACCCGACAAGATACAATTGGAGGATAGCCGCGGCAATAATTACATAGACGGTGAAATATCTGAACCACTTCTTCAAAGGCAATATTATGATGATATTTACACTACCATCGCAGTGTCGCCGTCGCTTCCACATCGACACTCTAGCAGGCCGTCACGGAAAAGAGACTTCAGTCCTGCTTCAGCTAGACTCAGACATAGTACAAGAAGTCCCGTCAGACAACGCGAATTCAGCCCGAGTTCTGTAAGTCACAGGCGACGAACAGAGACGACTACCTTTCCACCGTCTAAACGCAGAAGACGAGAGGACTCTGATCGACGTCATAGACATCACGAGAAGGATAGGAGAGACAAGCGAAGGCCATCAAGCATCACCGCCCGAAATCTCAGAATACAAGAACTGAAGATCAGTAAGAATAGCCTAGCGGCGGAGATGATGAAGAACGAGAACTTGAGCGAATTTGTGTACGAGAAATTGCGAGCCGCGAGGAAGAAGGCCGCGAGGAAGAAGGCCGTCACCCAAGACGATGTGCAGATCATAGAGGACCCTGAGGAGAAAGACGGCAATAACGTGTCTACTGAAAACAGGTTAGATGTCAAAACTCGTTTAAATACCATCCTCTTTTCTCTCTAATATAAATAAACAAGTAATAAATACCTTTCGCGCGACATGTATTAACTTGACAGTCTCTTTGATTTCAGGTCACATTTCAGGTCTCTTTCCCGATCACGGTCTCGTAGTCCTGGTACTCCGAAGAAATCGCATTCATCCAGCAAAACCCACAAGTCGACAAGGAAACATAAGTCAAAGAGCCCGAGAATATCTTCTCCTTCCACTCAAAGATCCAGAATCATAAGTTCGTCAAGCATCACCGCCCGAAATCTCAGAGTACAAGAACTGAAGATCAGTAAGAACAGTTTAGCCGCGGAGATGATGAAGAACGAGAACTTGTACGGACAGGCTCTTCTTGTGTACGAGAAATTGCAAGCCGCGAGGGAGAAGGCCGTCACCCAAGACAATGTGCAGATCATAGAGGACCTTAAGGAGAAAGACGGCAGTAACGCGTGTATTGAAAACAAGGCTTCCAATGGTAATAAGGACAAACCAGTGAATCACAAGGACCAGCCCGCTAAGCTCGGCAATGAAGACACGGTCAAGTCTGTCGACGTCGTCGACATTCCCCTGCCGATGAGCGATGACAATAGTCTGGCTGGCGAAACGCCGCCGTTATCAGCCAGCCAGCCAGTGATACCGCCGGCGCCGACAATTGCATCAAATTTGACTTCCAACGTGATTGTACATACCTCGCCCACCTTGTTTGCGGTAGCTACCAATTGCCCGATCGCACTCTCCCAAATCCCGCTTCCTGTGTCGGCGCTGAATTTGATCATGTCCAAGTTCAATACTCCCAACAATCTGGTGCCCCTCAAATCGTTGGATTCACCCAATACTTCAAAAGTAGCCTTTGAGGCGGAAAATTCGTTCAATTTTTCATTTGGAATCAATCTGAACGACTTGAAGAGCATTAATTTCTCGTCGAGTCCTTATATTTCGCCTAGTAAGACGCAAATGAAGCTCCCAACTTCGACGTCGAAGCTGCCGCAGAAGAGGAGCATTAAGGATCAGTCGATGATACCAGGTAATTTTTACTCTTCAACTCGTTTTATTGCTTATATAATATTAATTGCTTATATAATATTATTATATCAATCGACTGCTTAAATCGTAGTTGTGCCTGGATCAAATGACCTAAGCAGCGAGAACGATCCAAACGCGATTCTACCGCACTTGAAGATGGAACGAATGATACCGGAGCCAAAGAGACCGAAAGTAATAGGTCGACCAAAATGTCATACTCCCACATCAGTCTCCGGTGGCAAAGATTGGGGTCAACGCTGTGTGGATGTATTCGATATTATCACAAAGGTCGGACAGGGTACTTACGGACAAGTATACAGAGCGCGAGATAAGTGCTCTAGCGAGCTTGTAGCTTTGAAGAAATTCTGGTCGGAAAATAAGAAAGAGGGCGTCTCTATTACGTCGATCAGAGAAATCAAGATTCTACGTCATCTAAATCACAAAAACATCATTAATCTTAGGGAAGTTGTCACCGATAAGCAAAATGCACTGGGCTCCCGAAAGGTACTCTCACGGCTCCAACATCTTTCTCACAACTAATCTGATCCATAATAGCCACAAAATTATAAAATTTTATAATTATCCTTTGTGTTTCAGGATAAAAGTATCTTTTATTTAGTTTTCGACTGCATGGACTACGATCTAATGGCTCTTTTGGAATCTGGAATGGTGAATTTTAACGAGATGAATAACGCCAGTATTATGAAGCAGTTACTAGATGGTTTAAATTACTGCCACAGCAAGAATTATTTGCACAGAGACATCAAATGCGCGAACATACTGATGAATAAGAAGTACGTGAACCTCAATCAAAAATGAATAATTAATTTTTTCAATAATTTTTTATCTGATCTTGTAATTTTTGCAGAGGCGAAGTTAAACTGGCTGATTTTGGATTGGCGCGTGTTTATAACGCGGAGGACAAAGAAAGACGATATACTAACAAGGTGGTTACTCTGTGGTATAGATCTCCTGAACTGTTGTTGGGAGAGGAACGTTATGGACCTGCAATCGATGTATGGAGTTGCGGATGTATATTAGGAGAGTTGTTTTGGAAGAAGCCTTTATTCCAGGTAAATATCATTATTCTAAGTGAACTAATCATTTCTCGAATTTCAAAAAAGTTAATTATATTATGTATACATACATTATAATTATTATTAATATTTATAATTTGTGACCTTAGGGCAACGCAGAAATAATGCAGCTAGAATTGATTTCGAGAGTTTGCGGACACCTACTGAAGCTGTTTGGCCTTCTGTGACAAAATTACCACATTGGAAAATATTTAACCCAAGAATGGTACATGGAAGACGTTTGAGGGAGGATTTCTCATTTATGCCAGACCCAGCTTTAAATCTCCTGGATAAAATGTTGGAATTAGATCCCGGGAAGCGAATAACAACAGCGGACGCACTCAAAAATGCTTGGCTGGAAAACATTCAACCTGAACAGTACGTTATCTTATTTTTTCTTCTAACTTTTCTAACTTCTGTGTAATGGAATGTATATATATATATTTATTTTTATATTAATTTTTATATTAATAATTCCAGAATTCCAGCGATGAAGCTTCCTACTTGGCAGAATTGCCACCAACATTGGTGGAAAAAACAAAAACGCTTGTTAAAAAAATAACAAGATACC